GGGAAAAAAAAAAAAGTCACCCAAAGGATTCCTTGTCATCTTGCCTGGAAATATAATTTACAATGATAGCAAGCACTGGTCATTAGGAAAATAGAAACAGCTTGAATCTCTTAATTAAAATACTGCTTCAAATTGTTCATTTTAAAACCCCTCTGCCCATGAGCTTTCAAGAAACGACTGAGTTACCCTGAAATGGCTTCTCCCTCCGTAAACCTCTAAGAGGATCAGCTCTTCCCAGGCAAGAAAAAGGCTGAGTAGGGGTGAATCCTGGAGGTGGAACTATTATTAGACACACTTAAGTCCCCCAAGGAGCAATAAGCCTTCACTGACATTTGAAAGTGAGTGTAAAACACTGGCGAACAGACTATCTCATCGCCTTTTCTTGCATAAGAACAGATCTATTACACTCACCGCACTGGTAAAAATTAAGTCTACCAATGCCAAGAGTTGGTAAAAATAAGGAACAATGGAAATACTTCTGTACTTTGGAACACCCACTTTGGAAAACACTTGGTGTTATCTGGTAGAATTGAATATTTGTGTACCCTCCCAGATAGTGATTCCTCTTCTAGGTGTATACTCCCAGACACTTGTTTCAGGAGGCAGACTGAAAAATATTCAGAGCAGCATTGCTCATAAAAGCAAAAATCTTATGGGTGGACACATAGGTCTGTCAATAGTAAAACACATAAGTAATCTGGGGGTAGAGTTATGTAATGAAATACTATACAGCACTGAAAATGAAAAGACCTACCACCACATGCTATGTGGATGAATCTTAAAAACAACATGTTGACTGAAAGAAAACACAGTTGCTTAAGATTGCATACAGTATGATATCATTTTATTATGCTAATAAAACAAGTAAAAATAAGTAATATATTGTTTAGGGATACTTACATAGATGGTTAAATTTTTATTTTATAAGACAAGAAAAAATGATAAACCCCCAAATCAGAAGAGTGGTCACCTCTGTAAGAGATGGGGAGGGCCACAGGCAGCAGCAAGGATATTGGAATGTTCTGGAGCCTGCTTGGGTAAGGAGCTCATAAGCACATAATTGATTTTATCATGTTTTCATATATTCTTTAAAACCTAATATATGCCAGCATGTTACATATATTCTTTTGCATGTACAAAATATTAAATAAAACACTTTTAAATGACTAATCCAAACAATTTTCTATTTCCCAAGAAAATATTGTAAAGATTGTTATAGTTCATGTATTAAAATAAATATTATTATAAGTATTAGTTATAATTAATAACTCAAATATCACAAGTTCCCACATAACATATGCAGCTTAGTTCTCAACTTAGAGCTTAAGACCTTAAGAAAGCAATGGTAGTTTCATGATAATGAATATTTATATGACAAGGAGTGACATTCAAAATATTTAACAACTTATTCAGTTATGCAAATTAACATAGGAATAAAAAAATTCCCACCATCTGCTTGTGTTCCTTCTATTCTTGACTGTCTCAGACCAAAGTCCTGCAGAAACGTCCATTCCAAATAGTGGCCACATGGGGGCGACTCTAAGAAGATGTGTCCACTGGTAGCGAGCAGCCACAGCCTTCTGGCTGTCCCCTCTGTTAGGCTTTCGCCCTCCCCAAAATGCCATCCAAACCTCTTATAAAACCCACCCCTCTCCCCTTCCTAGGAGTATATTAGGCACGTAGCCTTTGCCAGACCCCCAGGGAGATAAAGGAATGAAATGCAAGAGGGGAACTTACTTTCCTTATCCCTCCAGGTTGTTTGAAAAGAATTTTGTTTACTCCTCCCAGAAAAACCCTCTAGAAAACCCAAGGCTCTCCCCTTTTCTCTTGTGGACACCTTTTACGGCCTCCACCCATCTGCACCTAGATGCTCAAAATAAACAGCATTTTGCTACACATGAGGCCCTCATGTGTCTCACTCTGAGCTCCGGACCTAATCCTCTCTGACCAGGAAATCCTGTGGGGACAAGGGCCCACAGCACACTGGCTGACTGGCCAGAGGAGAAGCAGGATACCTCACTTGAGGTGACCTTTGAGCAAAGATTTAAAGGAAATAGGAGTGTGAACCAAGCAGGTCACTTGGGGAAAATTACCAAGAAAAAGAGAACCCCAAGTATAAATGCCCCAAGGGAAGAGTGTGTCAGACGTGCTCTAGGAACATGAAGGAGGCCAGTGTGGCTGGAACAGAGGGAGGGAGGGGAGAGTAGGAGAAGGTAGAAGCACAGAGCTAACAGACCCCAAGACCATTGTAAGTCACTTGGATCCTACTCTGAGTGAGATGAGATGCTGATAAAAGGTTTGGAGCAAAGGAGTGACATGATATGATTGTAAAACATCTTAAAATGGCTGCAACATTATAGAATAGACTGGAGAAGCAGAGAGGCCAGTGAGGAGGCTATTACTGAAATCCAGGTAGGGGGTGGGGGTGGTGTGAACAGGGATAATAAGTCTTCTAAATTCCACCCCATGCATTCAACTGTGTAGAAATGCAATTAAAACATGAGATTAGGGCTGGTTGTGGTGACTCACACCTGTAATCCTAGCACTCTGGAAGCCCGAGGCGGGAGAATCTCTTGAGCTCAGGAGTTCGAGACCAGCCTGAGCAAGAGTGAGACCCTTGTCTCTACTAAAAATAGAAAGAAATTAGCTGGACAACTAAAAATATACATTAAAAATGTTAGCCAGGCGTGGTGGCGCATGCCTGTAGTCCCAGCTACTCAGGAGGCTGAGGCAGGAGGATTGCTTGAGCCCAGGGGTTTGAGGTTGCTGTGAGCTAGGCTGACGCCACAGCACTCTAGCCCAGGCAACAGAGTGAGACTGTGTCTCAAAAAAAAAAAGAACATGAGATTAGATTTCATCACCAGGTGGGTGAGTAAAGATGGAAAATAGAGGAGAACAGGCCGGGCGCGGTGGCTCACGCCTGTAATCCTAGCACTCAGGGAGGCAGAGGCGGGTGGATTGCTCGAGGTCAGGAGTTCGAAACCAGCCTGAGCAAGAGCGAGACCCTGTCTCTACTATAAATAGAAAGAAATTAATTGGCCAACTAATATATATAGGAAAAATTAGCCAGGCATGGTGGCGCATGCCTGTAGTTCCAGCTACTTGGGAGGCTGAGGCAGCAGGATTGCTTGAGCCCAGGAGTTTGAGGTTGCTGTGAGCGAGGCGAAAGAAAAGAAAGAAAAGAAAGAAAGAAAGAAAGAAAGAAAGAAAGAAAGAAAGAAAGAAAGAAAGAAAGAAAGAAAGAAAGAAAGAAAGAAAGTAGAGGAGAACAGAAAAGGCACAAGTACTGAGCCTTGGGACATGCCATCATTAAGAGACAGGGGAGATCAGGAGAAACCAGCAAGGGTTTGAGCAGGAGTGGCCCACCCTCACCTCTACAAGTCACCACCCACCTGAGTTTGGTATTTGTCATTCCCATGAATATCTTTACACTTGCACTACAAATGAACGTACCTCTAAACAATGTATAAAATTGCTCTGCATGATTTTCAACTTTATTTGTATAGTATCATACTTGATATATTTTCCCAAGCTGTTTTTTTTTCCACACAACCTAATATTTATGAAATTCATCCATGTTAAAACATGTCACTCTAGGTCACTCATTTTTCACTGCTGTATGGTATTCCTTTGTGTGAATATGCCATGTTTGATTCATTTTCCTGTGGAGGAACACATAGGATATTCTGCTTTTTCTGGTATTATAAACAATACTGCTATGGGCATTCTCACATGGGCCTTCTTATGCCTTGTGCAAGAGTTCTCTAGGGCATCTGTCCTCAAACTTAAGCATATACGAGAATCACCTAGAGGTTTTATTAAAACAGATTTCTGAGCCCCACACCCAAAGTTTGTGATCAATAGAGCCTGAGAATTTGCATTTCTAACAAGTTCCCCCATGATGCTATTGCTTTTGGTCCAAGGACCACACTCTTCAAATCAGAGTACTAGGGCACATGCCAGGATTACAAATGATGGTCTTAAGTATGCATGCACATCTCCAGCTTTTCTAGATATTGTCAAATTGCCCTGCCAAGTGGGAAAACCAATTTACATTTCCACCAGCAGTGAATATGTGTCTCTTGTTGCCAATGCTGGTGTTGTTAGGCCTTTAATGTGTGCCAATCTGATCTTTAATAATTTTTAAAATTTATCATGGCATTGATAATTACATGCATCCAAACATGTAATTGAAAACCTCAAGACATTACATCCTAGGGTTAATTAGAACATTTCCAAGCTTCCTTCTTATGTACAGATAGCCCTCCCTTGTTCTACAATCTGTCCAGTCACCTGCTATTTTCCCGTCAATCCCAGGAATGAACAAAATGGTATAGATAATAAAATCAGTAAGACTGTTACGAGAAGAAAGTAGAAGCTGGCTCCTATTCATGGCAAACTCCAATGTGGGTTGTGTGTGTTTTTTGGTTTTTTTTGGGGGGGGAGACAGAGTCTCACTCTGTTGCCTGGGCTAGAGTGCTGTGGCATCAGTCTAGCTCACAGCAACCTCAAACTCCTGGGCTCAACCAATCCTCCTGCCTCAGCCTCCTGAGCAGCTGGGACTACAGGCATGCGCCACCATGCCCGGCTAATTTTTTCTATATATTTTTAGTTGTCTGGCTAATTTCTTTCTATTTTTAGTAGAGACGGGGTCTCGCTCTTGCTCAGACTGGTTTCGAACTCCTGACCTTGAGTGATCCGCCTGCCTCTGCCTCCCAGGATTATAGGCGTGAGCCATCGCGTCCGGCCTCCAATGTAGGTTTTATTTATTGCAGTTAATTTTTTAAAAAAATCAATGATGACATGTAGCTGTAAAAAGACTCATAAGGTGAAGGGAGTGAGGAAAATTGGGCATATAGGTAGGGAAACAAACTTTCTTCACCAACATACCCTGTCATTTTTGGGGGAAAATAAAGAATGCCATATTCTTCATCATAGTCATGAAAAAGTTCCTTCCAGTTTGTACCACATTAACAAGGAGACAAGAAGCTGGTACTCACGGATCTGGTTGGTGGATGCACTGTAGAAGGCATTGACAGTTGTTGGACTTGTAAACCACCTGTAGAAAGAGAAACAAATGCCACAGAGTAATCATCAGTACCCAGGCAGGGGGCAGCAAAGACAAACACAATGTGGCTGGGTTCATTAGCAGATAACCAGGAACCACTGGGATGTTGGGCAAGAGGGGAAATTATCCCCTCAGTTTAGGACTACTGCTCTGCTTAATGAACAATCTCATCCTAAATTGAACAGAGTTCAATAAAAATATATTAACATGCCTAGTTATTCACTGCTACTAACTTAAGGGGAAAAGTCAGCACCAGTGCTTCGGAAAAGGCTCTCATGAGGAATTCTAGAACCTAAAGGGCTCTCTCTTCCTGCAAATGGAAACACAGCAAGCTGATGTTTGCCAGGCCCTGTTCAATGGATTGGTGGGACAGCTGGGTTTCTATGCTGCATCACCTCTGACCTGTCCATTAAAAAGTTTTGGATTGATGACAACACAGAGGTCCATTTGAAGAAAGATGAATAAAGCACAACCATGCAACCCAGAGGATCTGCCTGTGCCAGGTGCTTAAATTGACTGATTTAAGCACCAAAAGTTTTAACAACTGGTCCTGCCTCTATCACTAATTGGTTGAGTTGTATGGGAATAGTCACCTACCTTCCTGGGGGTTGCTTTTAGCTATAATTTAGATATTGCATTAGAATATCTCAGAATCCCTTCTACCTATGAAGTGTCTACACCCCCTTTTTAAATGCACAATTAGGTTACTTAGATTAAGAGTCAGCAAATTATTTTCTGTAAAGAAAGAGTCCGATTGTAAACATTTTAGATTTCACCGGAAAAGAGGCAAAATTGAGAATATTGTAATAGGAAGAGCAAATTTTCCACAAATTTTTATTGATGAAATTCAAAATATAATAATCAAGTATATTTTGTTGTAATACAGGCCTATTAATGAGAGGAATGGAATTCTTTTGGGGTGGGATAACATTTTGCTTAATTGGGGTTCAAACTTAGTGCCTCTCGGTCATCACACCAACTGCAAATATTTATCTGTAAAAGTCATTCTTAGGTCATGGGCCATACAAAAACAGGCAGCAGGCAAGATTTAGCCCAGAGGCCATAGTTACCAAACCCTGACTTAGATGGTTGTGAGTTTCAGTCACTGCCCTTTATAATTAAAACCAAGCAATTCATCTTTTTTTTTCACTTTTTTAAAAATTTCTTTTACTATAAACACGAAACAAGCAGATCAAGCAATTCATCTTAAGCTAAGTTGTTCAAAAATAAACTTGTAAGCCAGGCATAGTGGCATGGGCCTATAGCCCCAGCTGCTCAAGAAGCTGAGGCAAGAGGATTGCTTTAACCCAGGAGTTTGAGTCCAGCCTGGACAACATAGCAAGACCCCATCTCTGAAAAAATAAATAATGAAAAAGAAGAAGAAACTTGTATAAATCCCTTTTCAGAATAATCATTTTACTCATTTATGTCTAATAATTATATCAGACTAATAATTTATACCAGACTAATATGAAACTAATAGGAAATCCAACTATTGATGATAGTTGGTCACTCATACCTTCTCCCCAACTATAAATAAGTCTATGAATATGTCATTCTACTATAATTATCATTATTATTAGCTAACATTCATTGAGCACTTACTATGTCTTAAGCACTTTCTATCCATAGTTTTTTTTTCTCCCATAGCAACTATAGGAATTATTAATCCAATTCACAGATGAGGACAATGAGACCTAGAAGCATTATATACTTTCACAAGGTCTGGTCTGTGTGACTTCAAACAGCTTCTTTTAAGCGTTATGTTATACTAGAGGCATTACTGAAAATCAAGAAAGAGAGCACTTCTTCTCTTTTCAAAACTGAAACCTAGACTTATTTCTATAAAATGCATATTGTTTTCCTTCAAATTTAGAGTATTTCAATTAAGCCCTAATATTTAACACAAACTTGCCAGCTTGCCTATTTTGCTGAGGAAATAAGTAGAGGGAAAAGCATCTCTATTGACCTAATGTCCCCACCTGTAGTAGGTAGAATTATGGCCGTGTCCTAATCCCTGGATCCTGTGACTACATTATATTACATAGCAAAAAGGACTCTGTGGATGTAATTAAGGTTAAGGACTTTAAAATAGGGAAATTATCCTGGATTATGAAGATAGGCTCAATATAATCATATGAGCCTTAAAAGCAAGCAACTTTCTTTGGCTGAAATCAGAGAGAAGCCACAGAGGAGGGAGTCAGAAGAGATACTGCAGAACAGGAAGTCAGGGAGATGCCAAGGGTGAGAAGGATTTGACACACTGTTGCTGGCTCTAAGATGCAGGGGCAATATGCAAGGACTAAGGAAAGGCCTCTGGGAGCAAAGAGTGGCTCCCAGGTGACAGCCAGGAAGTAAAGGAAGGAAGGACCGCAGTCCTACAACCACAAGGAACTGGATTCTGCCAACAACCTGAATGAGCTGGGAAGGAGATTCTTCCCAGAGCCTCCCTGTACGGGCCAGCCAGCTGACGCCTTAATTTCAGCCTTGTGAAACCCAAAGCAGAGAAACCAGCCAAGCCATCCCAGACTTCTGACCTACAGAACTGTGAGATAATAAATCTGTGTTGTTTTAAGTTGCTATGGTTGTGGTAATTTGTTACAGTAGCAATACGAAACTAATACACTACCCAGAGAACCCAGCATTTGTAGGTCAAGAGGGAAGAATCCAGATGCCTCTCAATTTGGCTTCCAAATAATATTGGGCTGAATCATAATATAGACAAAAGATAATGTGTCCCCTCTTTTTAGCAAGAATAAACTTCCAAAACATTGGAGTAAGGCCCACACAGGGAGAATGTTCCTAATTGCTGGTATACAAAGGTGGGAAAAGCAAAAAGTTCAAACAACCAATCCCTGAAACTAGACACTGATGGGGCTTCTGAAGCTTCAGCAAGAATAACTAAAACATCTTATTTCAGACACATGATCTTACCATTCCTGATGTCCCAGAGCTCCTGTTGACTCTAGGGCACGTTTGGAGCCTTGATTATACCCAACGCCAATACTAAGCAGCTGCACTAGTAGATCCTATCAGTTGTTGATGCTGTTATTACTTCTGTTTGTTCAGTGCCCATGCCAAACCAGCTGTTAAACATTTTGTATATCTCCCTTATTATATCCAAGCTTACTATATATTTGTTTTACTATTCTCTAATGTAAGACTACATGTGCTAGTTTTAATAGGTGTTTGCAAATTTTTTTACACTCCTCTCATTAAGAGATGGAGTCTAAATTCCTCTCGTTTTGATTATGGGTTAGCCTTAGTGACTCACTTTTAAAGAATAAAATGCAGCAGAAATGTCGCTGTATGACTTCCAGACCTAGGTAATTAAAGGTGATACAATCTCTCTCTGATGTATACAAGCACACCTTCCCACCCTTCCTCCCTCTCTCTTTCTCAGGAAAGTTGCTCTTCAAAGTTTATCAATCAACACACTGTAAAGAAACCCAACGTACATAGAGAGACCATGTGTAGGTTTTCTAGCCAACAGCCAACATTAACCACCAGACATGGGAGAGAGGCAGCCTTCCATGTGACTCCAGCTCCAGCCACTATGTGACTGTAGCTACATGAGTGACCATGACTGCATGTCACTGCATGTCACTGCATCACCATGACATGTGACTGTAACTACATGAGTAACCATGAACTACATGAGTGACCAGAACTACACAGCTGAGCCTAGTGACCCCTACAACTACAAGAGATAAATAAATAACTATTATTGCTTTAACCCTCTAAATTTGGGCATGGTTTATTATACAGCAATAGATAACTGGAACACTAAAAAGTTGGCTGTCCACAGACTAAGCCCTAACCAGTGGGCAGAATGTTCCCAAAAAAAAATGTTTTATTTGTCCAACACAATGGTTTCAAAAATTACTGAATTGGAATTTCTTTAAATGGAGGGTGCAATGACTAGTTTTCCACAATCCCCACCACTCCCTATTATTTATACCCCATAGGTTGGCCATTTATTAACTGGCCCTGAAGGCATTTGAATTTGCATAACTTATCTCCCAACAAGATTTTTAAGTTCCTTATGGACTTGGACTGTTGTACAAATGGTATGTGCTGAGCAGAAGATCACTAGATCCATTCAAATGAATTTATTTCTATGTATACATCCACTTGAATAAACAAAGAGTATCATTAAAGTGCTTTAAATTCTTTTTACTATGTCTTTAGAGTGTTTCTGCAGTCTGTATTTGGGGAAGGATTTAGTGAATAAGGTAGGGAGAAGTCTTATATATAAATTTCAAATCCCAAAATATATAAGGATGAAATATACCAGATAATGGGCTATATAAAAGGAATGTAATACCAAAATACAATAATCTGAAGGAAAATACATTGGTACCCCAATTTCTTTTTTTTCTTTTTTTTGAGACAGAGTCTCACTTTGTTGCCCAGACTAGAGTGAGTGCCGTGGCGTCAGCCTAGCTCACAGCAACCTCAATCTCCTGGGCTCAAGCAATCCTTCTGCCTCAGCCTTCCAAGTAGCTGGGACTACAGGCATGCACCACCATGGCCAGCTAATTTTTTCTATATATATTAGTTGGCCAATTAATTTCTTTCTATTGGTACCCCAATTTCTTTGGACCATATAAAATAGATATATATCAGGCTAAAGTTTTGCATTTTATTTATCAACTCTTAAAGATAGTCTAGAGAATATGGAATGGAAAAACCATAGAGTATTTATTGCTTTCTTACTAATATCCTGCAGATTATATCACTCCCATGCCATGCTATAGATAATGCTTTTGAAAACAGAAATTCTGGGCAGGACCATAATTTATATAGACATTTGATATATTTTTACATATTTTTCAAAAGATAGAGAAAGAGAATCCATACATGTTTGGTCACAGTAGAATGAGAGTGAATTAATAGGGAAACAGGCTTAAAATCATTTCTGTCAAAGAAGGGGATCCTCAGGGAAAGAAATTACTTTTGACTCAAGCCAAGCAGTAAGTAAATCCTCTATTTTTAAGCAAACTGATGAAGTGACAATTCTGAAAACCAATTCCTAAATATGTACCTTCAGGGATGACCACCCAATTAATTTCATTCTTGCTGACATTTCCCATAGCCTTAGAAACTTCTTAATGCACATTAGTGCAGCTAAAATGGATTCCATGAGAATGAAAGATAAAGAATATTTATCTCCTATACCCACAAAGAAGCAAAATGTTTTTTCAGGGCTTTGTGGAAATATAATCATGATGTGCTGTTCAAAGTAAACTAGTGTAGTGGAGCCACTCCAAAATCATCCCCACTCCATTAACTCATGAATTTCCAGACCTACAAGATGTCAGTTAAAGCCAATGGGTATAATAAAGCTAAAATTCCCTACAATGCCTGAAAAGGACCAGCCAGATGTTTCCTTTAAAAAAACAAGCAAAGCTGACTGCCATATCACTCTACCATGCAAAAGGGACCTTAAATTTCTTAATGTTGTTTCCTGAAATAGACATATAGTCTGAGGAAACAAAAATTATAAGCATTGCACTGATTTTCATTTCTAGAGAACTTTTCTCAAACATTAACCAATTTAATACCCTTGTGAAAGAGGTATTTGGTTTACAATGACAGAGAAGAAAACCACACAAATCACACCGTTTGCCTAAGCCCACAAAATCAGCCAGCATTTTTCCAAGGCATGCATAAAATATTAGAAATAGTTAGGACCATTAGAATCTGATAGTCTATCAGGATCTTAGGGTGATGTTAAAGATGACATATTTAGGAGTTTTCAATTACCAACCCTGGCCTTGCTACACACCCAGGTGAGCAATGACACTTTGAAATTAAAGAATTAAACTGACCACATTGCCAATATAGAGAAGCCTGAGAAGAACCTGAAAATTCACAAAAATACGATAAAAGCCTTGAATTTTCTGCAAGTTTTTTTTTTAAAAAAAAAAGAGTTTGAACTGATCTGAAGTAGATCTTTAAGGGCAGAGTGATTGACATAGATCCATGACTACCATATTACATGTAAATGGTCATAGAAATATCAGAAATCATTTGCTGAAGTCATCGGATTTGAGTCATCAATTTGACAACCCTAAATCTAAAATTCCTATTGAATAATTTAGACAGGGAATGAAACAGAATATGTGAACTGAGAGATAATGTGAAGAGAGGAGAGAATCAAGGACAGTGAAGCACGTGGCTTTAAACCATTATCTATCATTTCCAAAGACATTCTAAAGCCTTCTGCCTTCTTCTTTTACAATTTTGATTGGAGTCAGCGATAGTCAGGGGCATGATTCAGCCTTAGGCCTACTCCTTACAGTCAGTAACTTAACAAAAAACATTGGAGGTGTGTATTATAGGAAGGTTTGAAGGGCAGAGGGTAGTGATAGCCAGGTAGGAGCATAAGGTGGTAATCATAGCTTAAGCTAAGGAAGGGTACAGGGGCCCAGAGTTTCTAGAAGCCAGGACAGAGCAGGAAGTTCAAAGAGAGAGTAACAAGAGACTCAGAGAGCATAAAAAGAGCCAAAGATTTGGCAATCAGAATATCAGCCAAGGTTAAGAAGTGGGCCGTGAAAAAAAAAGTGGGCTATAGAAGTCAGGCTTCCAGGTATGATGGCATGAAAAGGTCGACAATATCTTTCCACAAAAATCAACCAAAAAGTGGACAAAATTGCCAACAACCAACCATTTTAGGGCTCTGAAAATTGATCAAAGGTAAGCAATAAGTTGAAAAAAAATGTTTAATCTTTAAAAGCTGCTAGAGATTGGGAATAAGTAGAGCAGGAGTCTGTGGTCTTGCCTGAGACTGTTCCTGTGTCTCCCAGTTGAATGAGAACTTAGTTCAGAAAAGACTTGCTGGAAAATCAGCAGCTTTGCTGCCACAGGGGATGGACTCAATTGGGGGTGGAGGTGAAAATCTGCAGCTTTGTTAGCTAAAAATGGCCAATTCAGTAGAAAACAAATGAGGAAAACCCAGTCAGAAATTTAAAGGGGAGATTTTAGAAAAGGTCATGGAAAGGCTGAAAAAGCACTCCACACATTTCCACCTGATTGGAAAACTAGACACATGTGCAGGAAAGACCAGAGAGCACCCACAAGGTAAAATCCAAGACAGAGAATTGGCTGTGATTTTGAAGGCACTCCCAACTCATACACAGAGCAATTAGCAGAGGGTAGAAGCCCTATAGACTCAAGGTGTTTGAGCACGAGTTCTGCCCTAATCACTGACTGAGCACTAAGCTATGCAGACACAGGGACAACCACCAGCAAGCAAGGCCAAAAAATAAGAAATAAAAACCTGAGTAGATACATCCACATGGGAGATACACTCTGGAGTATAATTCCAGGAAAGTTACTTTAAAAAAAAAAAAAAAAAAGCTCCCAAAATAAATTGGAATCCAGAGTTGCTCCAATATTTATCTAAAATGTCATTAGCAAAAACAACAAAAAAGATGGTATGCAAAGACGAAGTGTAAGAAAAGCAAAAGCAATCAATAGAAACTAACTTGAGTGAGCCCAGATATTGGATTTAGCAAAGACTAGAAAGTGGCTATTATAAATTAGTTCAAAGAATTAAACTATATTCAAAGAATTAATAGAAAGTATGGTGACAATGACTCAGCAAATAAAGAGTCACAACAGAGAAATAGAAACTATAAAAAACAAACAAATGGAAATTCTGGAGTTGAAAATAGATCGTGAGAAATTATCTAGTCTGGAGAACAGAGAGGGAAAAAGGCAGTATAGAAGTGGGCCACAGCAGAACACAGTCTAGTCCTATGAGTCAAATGCACCACCAGGCAGAGCAAAGAGTAATCTAAACCTGGGCCTAAGAGTTTCTCCATTGTAAGCCTTTCACTCATTTGTAAAATGGGGATAATAGTACCTACACCTCAGAGAATTGACTTGAGGATAAAATGAATTAAAAATTGTAAAGCACTTCCTGGCACATTGTAAACAATTAATAATTGTTAGCTGCTATCATCATCATCATCACCACCACCACCATCACCATCATTATCAATATTTTGCTAAAAGATGAAATCATAGCTGGCAGCACCCAGGGCCCAAAAGTTCCTAAGGAAACTCTCCTACCTATAGGGAAAGTTCCTGTAGGCAGTTGGGAAGAAGACAAATAAATCCTAACTGCTATTGGATGAAAACAATCTAGCTATCAGTTCTTGGCTATGCATTACCTCAACTATCTTCATAATTATATAATTACTTTGACACTTCTTTTTTTTTGCAGTGTTTTTTTTTCAGCATATTATGGGGGTACAGATTTTAAGGTTTCAATAAATGCCCATTCCCCCTCCCCCTGACACTTCTAATCAGTTTATTTTTTAAGTATTTATTCTTTTTAAGATCTTCAAAAGTTTCTACATGAGTATGAAAATCTAGAGAAATTTTTTCTATATATATTCATAATTAGATCTAGAAATAACTTTAATGTTTGCATCCTAATAAGCCTTCTTGCAATATGTGTTGATGCTAGGAGTGGGGGACCCATAATTAGATTGAAGATGTTAATCACACAATATAAAAAATAAGAGTTGGCAAAACATGACACAAATTTTGCTAAAACAAGATAGCTGGCAAGACAGCTACTCTGACTTGAGGGGAATTACAAAGTTTAATCTAAAGAGACTCCACTCCCCACCAATGTATTTATCTATTTCACTTTTTTTCAATACTCACTCTGTTTTTGGAACAGCTTTTCTTAGCCAGAAGAAATCAGACTGTGCTAAATACTTGCGGGTTTGCAGTACGTTGCCAAAGTAGTCGGATTCTGAGAACTTGATCTGAGTAAGACAAACCACAACATCATTGTCTTAAGTGAAGGGAAGAGATGGCTCAAAAAAAAAAAAAGAGTTCAGCACACAAAGCAGCAGCCAGCAGAGAAGCTGAGGCCCTCACGGTATTTCTCAGCCATTACCAGTTAACCCAGAATTCACAAAGCCATGAAATTTAATCTGGGTGATTTTCTTTTAACATAAAAAGCTCAAAAATCAACATGGTCCTTTCTGGATCACAGGAAAAAAAAAAAAAGAGAAGCTACAGTCATTTACAATGTGTTCCATTTACTTTATAATTGAAAAATCTACTTTAACCTTTACAGAACATGTTATCTTAGGTTCAGAATTTCTTGGCTCACGACTCCTTGAGTTTCTTCTAAAATATGTACTTTATTTATTTGTCACATAAGATTCTTTTAGTAACATTCAGTTTAGTCAGCTGAAACCTCACGTAGCTACAGATAATGATTTAGTCAAATGTTAAAATCCAATTTACTGTAATTGGCATTTGTTTATAAGGAAAAAAATGAAAATGATTCAGAGACCTATTTTCTACCCTAAGCACAATGAAGTCACCAGAATAACTTAATTATTAACAGAATTTATCTATTAACACTCAAAAAAGGCTCTAGTCACTAAATATTAATGAAATTACAGAGGCAAATCATAGATTATAGCTTGCATGAGAATACAGGAAGTTGACAGGTCACAACAATGAAACAGGGAAACATAAATAATTGATTTTTGAGTTCCTTTCTTTAGAAGAAGAATGGCAGGCAGTTTCAATTCTATAGGCACTCCATCTACAGAAGTAACAATACTTAACCTAGATATTGTAAATGTCTGTGTAACTATAAAAGCAATAGTCTGTAGTGATCTCTAATGCTTTGGTGTTAAAATATATTACTGTGGCAAATAAGAAAAACACACATGTGGAGCTGAACACAGTGGCTGACACCTGTAGTCCCAGCTACTCAGGAGGCTGAGGCAGGAAATCACTTGAGCCCAGGAGTTAGAGGCTGCAGTGAGCTATAATCATGCCACTGCACACCAGCCTGAGTGACAGAGCAAGACCCCATCTCTTAAAAAAAAGAGACAAGAAAAACATATATCTGAATAAACAAATAAGCAAGACCAAATTCTTAACTGTAATTTTTGAAAACTTTAAACCGTAGTCTTTTAAAAGCAAAAATCAAAATATGCATGTATTAATATATGAAATCCACAGGCATTGCATTATGGATATGAGTGTATATACAATAATTCAATGGTCATAGACTTGACAGTCACCTATCTGTTGGCCAATGTCTGGCTCACATTTAGCTCCTCCCTAACATAGAGTGGGCACTCAGTATGTCTGTGCAGAAACTTTTGTGAATGAGTCATCTTAACAATCTTTCCAGGGGGGCGGGCCAAATTATAAAGAAAGTAGCAAAATAAGTAAAGACACATGGAGAAAGGCAGGAATGAAAGTATTGATTTCTGGCATCCGTGGTGTTCTGCTTGGCCAACAAATTATAAATATATGACTTTAAATTGTCTCTTCCTCAAACTGCTTGGGTGGGGGTAGAAAGCTGATAAATAAATCGTGATACATTCACATAATGAAAACAAGGCAGCAATTGAAATGATTGCTCTGCATGCATGAAGATGAAGGAAATCTTTAAAATTACACTGAGTAAATAAGGCAAGTTGTATGTGTGAGAGGATTTAAAGCTTTAAAACATGCAAAACAATACTGTATATTATTTATGAGCCTATGCCTAGGTCGCAAAAGCATAAAGAAATGCATGGGAATAATAAAACTGAACTCAAGATAGTGTTTATAACCAGGGAAGGAGATAAGCATGAAGGAAGGAGATTAGATCAAGAGGATTACACACCAAACTTCAAACGCATATGTTTTATTCATTTAAAATGTGTGTGTATATAAAGCTAATATGGCAATATGTTTAACATAAATTAAAGATAGAGTTGTTCAAAATATTATTTATCATATCGTTCCAATGTTTGAAATGCTTCATAATAAAAAGAAATCTTATAATTGATTATATTTTAAGATAAATGTTTTTTCTTAGCCTCAGAAGAAATAGAGTAAGCATCTTGTTTTAGGAAGTAACCTTAACTAGCAATCCTAAGGCATTCCCAGATTGGGTGGTTAAAACATGCATCCATTGTTCAATCCTTAACCTTTTCCAGCTTTTGTTTCCAAGATAGCTCTGCCAGAACCTTCAGAATATGACTGTAACTGATAGAAAATTCAGGCATGTTCTTAGGTTCAGAATATTTTCAGAGAAATTCTCCCAAAGGAATTTCCTTCAAAAATATTAACTGTTTTCTTTTTCTCTCTCTCTTTCTTTCTTTCTTTCTTTCTTTCTTTCTTTCTTTCTTTCTTTCTTTCTTTCTTTCTTTCTTTCTTTCTTTCTTTTGCAATATCAGTGGGGTCAGTTTTTATTTTTAGAAGAGTTTGCTAATTGTGATACTTTGCTGTCCCATTTGAAAAAAAAGAAAAGAAAAAAATATTGGCACTCACGTTGGTCCACAGACAATAAATAGAAAACCATTCCAAAACTTTCTAAAGAAGTAAAGAGCCCCAAGTCTAAAAATACTTTAAATAAATAAGGTCCTACCACAGGCCATGAAAATAATGATGGAAGCAAAACTCCGAGGTAAGTAGTTACAATTTGTCACAGCTTATCTCTGTTTAGGAGGACAATTTTAAAATTACTACATTGAGAATATTAGTTATTTCTTAGCTTGGCTTAATTGTTCTATTCCATTTATACGATGGAAATCACAACGAATAAGGGACAAATATTACTTTTTCCTCTGAGACAGGTTAAGTGTATAGGGGTAAGTAGGAACCAGTCATTGTTATTCTCATATGATAGATGGGAAACAGGGCTAAAGAGATTATGGAACTGGTCACAGCTATGCAGTCCAAGTCATTTGGCTCTCATTTCAATGTTATTTTCATTGGCCTAAACAAGAGAACCAGTGATTCAACAGAAAGAGTAGAGGGAAGGAGGAAGAAAACATAAGAATTGTGGATGGGACTCAAAGCAGTGATTAAATAAATCATGGTATAGCTTACTTAATGAAATATCATACAGCTGTTAAAATAATGCTAAGAAAGGCTATTGAAGACAGTGACAAAACAATATGTTAACTGTAAAGATCAGTATACAAAATTATATATAAACTTCAATTACAGCTATACAGAAATCAACAAGAACAAAGTAACACTGTAACGGAAGTATGCACTATTATGTTCAAATATCAATGTCATGGGTGTTTGTTCATTCCTTTTCTGTTTCCCAAATTTTCTCCCATGTGATAATAATTTGATTACTTTAAATATTTCAAAAGGCCCTTGAATGAGAAAGAAATCTGAAGCCCAACAACCACTGGGAAAATTCTGTTTGTTGTAGAGATAGCAACAAGAGTGAATGCACATGAATATTTTAAAACCACTTGTAATCTCCAAAAAAAAAAAATTAAACTTGACAAGGGACAATAATTGGCTCAAAAGCCTCTTGTCCTTTCAGAGAAAATCTAGGTCAAGTTGATAATGACTTTCAATCAATTCCATCTCTTGACTTTTCAATTGAGTGACCTTTGGGGAATTAATTGGGGCTGTCGTGTCATTTCCTAAGAACAGATGTCCAGATCATAAAATTCAGGAGAACCTGCATTTCTCTTCTTGGAAATCCTATACCAGATGCCAAACACCAAATGCCACAGACTAAATGGAAAAATAAAGTAATTACCACCCACACACACAAAGATGGGGAACATGTAATAAGGGCAAGACAAAGGAAATGTGTTCAGCTTCTCTGTAAAATGAGTAAGTACACTTTTATAAGACGCTATATATGCCAATAGGAAGTAAAAATTCTAGAATACTTTTCATCTAACTTAAATCCATTTAAAGACACTCAGATTTATACCCCAATATCTATAAGAATGATTTTGTGTTAGGCACGCAAAGAATTTTCTGAATACTTAATGAAATCCAGATTTTGTATCTACACTTTCCTTTGTTTAAACAACAAAGCAATATGCAAGATTGGTGTGTTTAGATGACTTTGCCCATAAGTAACATCTGTATATATATATACATACCTATATACAGGCGTGATGTTCAAAATGCTTAATATTCCACATGTATAATATACTGTGGAAGAAGCAGTTACCGAAGCAGCTATGTAAGGGTGAGTCTCAGGGAACACCAGCCAGCTGACCTGCTCTGGAACCAGCTGTCCCCTCTCCATGATCCTGACTTTAACCCCTACTGTAATTCTCCACTGGCTTTCACAAGAATGAGTGAAGGGCTTCACTGTGCCGGTTATTTACCTGTTGTCTATCAGCCACATTTGCTCACCCTCTGACTCTGTTCTATAATAATAGAGACTGGGGAATCTGAAAACTCTCTTTCCCAGGCTCCTTTGCCAATTGACTTCCTGCCAATAGGAGGCACTGGGGCAAGAGGGGGAAAGGTGCCGCTTGCTCTCTCTCCTGCCCCCATGCTCACCCCCTCCCTTCCTTTCTTCTTCTGACAGTGACTCTGGAAGAATCTGTAAGTCCCTCCTCCACAGCTCAGCTCTGGAGTGGCAGTTCCTCCTCTGCTCTCCTAAGTGATGGCACTATCCATCCCCTCCTCCCTTCTGTGTGTCCCTAGGCACAGGGGTGGCAGTTGCTTCCTAAAGTTATTAATCGGGTGGTTTATCTCACCTTCCCCTTTTCTGCTTTCCAACCTATTTCCTGTATTAAACCCCCTGTCTGAAATACCTAGTGTGCTTTTTGCTTTCCTGGCTGATACAGCAATCTTTTCAAAACTGATATAAACTCACTCCTGATTCTATTTCCATTAAGGACAAATGAAATGGAATACTTTGCAAGGCGAATTAGAAAATGGACCGATGCCTTTTTAGCCTAATAGGCTTTCCTGCATGTTGATGTGGATTCAAATAAAGCGTATTTTCTTTCTTCTTGCTCTTTTCAAAAACTACAGGACTGTTGTTCAGAAATGCTTTAATGAGTATCTCAGTTTACCTTGTCAACCTCAAAGAAATAATTTTTTCCTCTGATTTTTTTTCACATTTGCCTCTCAATTCTTTTTCATTTGTTCTTATCTCCCCATGAGCCCGACTTAAGTTTTCAACCTTTCTCCTTGACCTTCATTGGATCCATCACCTAATCTCTCTCCTCTTTGCTTTTGCATTTGTGCCTGATGAATCATATCTTCACTTGTGTCAAATGTAGCAAGCTGTTTTTCATTTGTAACAGCCTCTAATGCTGAGAGCTTGTGTTACCAGAAATTTCTCACAGGTCCTATAGTAGTCCTTATCTACATGTTTCTTAAAACTGAAACCAGTCCCATTGTGTACCAGCCCTACTTCAGTCCTTTTGCTACTAACTTCAGTGTCACTATTACAATCTATACATCATCCTTCACCTACTTTCACGTTGGGTTTTATTCATTATTTCTATCAGTTTCTGAAGACAAATAACTTTTACTTCATGTATTTGGAATGATTTTCACTGTCAGTTTTTTAAACAGTTAAAACTCTTGGGTAATTGTGTCTGCTTTGGCAATGAGTCTAGTGAAAGCCATTTCTTCACAGAAGTGATTAAAAATCTCGGTGTCTAACAGCTTCAGTTCAGGCCCCGGAGAAATGAAGTAGCATACCCAACATGTCATCCTGTTTGGCATCTGGTTTCTTTTCACAAAAGATACTCTATTCAGTGAGTCCTTAAATTTGGGGCTCGCAACTTAGACAGCAACAGACTGCCAACAAAACTTGATCAATTAAATATTATGAGTGAGCCCTGAATGCTACCTTATTTGATTAAAACTTGGAACTGCTCCATCTGTATAGCCTTTTAAATCAATTTGAGGAACCTGGACACTGCATGAGTTAATTTATGATGACTTTTCCAAACCCAAATAATCCGCTGTCACAAGTGCGAATTGAGGATGTCATAGCCAACGCTTACATCGTGCTGATTGTGTGCCAGGGTTGGTCCTAAACACTTTAAATACGTTAACTCATTTGATCCTCACAGCAATCTTATAATGGGAGGGATTGTCATCAACCCCATTCTGCAGATAAAGAAGCTGGGGCACAGGGAGACTGTGTAACCTACCATAGGTCACGCAGGTAGAAGTGGCAGACTGGAGATTTCACTGCAGGCACTTTGACTTTCCATGTTCATAATCACTACACCAAACTGCCTCTCAAACCTTCTCTTTCACATCCTGACTTGGAATATTTACCAATCACAAGGAATTACCCAGGTCCTCCTGCTAAGGTACTTTCTGCCCTGGTGATGCTCTTCTTAGTAGCAACAATCCTTATATTGATCCACAAAGCTACCATTTATAGGGAGCCTACTATGCACCAGACATTATGCTAGGTGCCTTTACATTTATATAATCTCATGTAATCTTCCCAACAACACTAAGACTTGGTTATTAATTCCAGTATCCAGATAACCAAAGAGAAACTAGCTGATGTTAAGTAACCTGCACTAAAATCAAACAACTAGTAAGTGGAACAGGCAGAATTCAAACTCAGGCCTATAACTCCAGAGCCTGTTCTCTTAACCACTTGACAACATGGCCGCCCCTCTGCTCTTCTCCTTCCCAACAGCTCTGGTAAGGCAGCCCCCACCCCTCCTCTGATTGCAGGCAGAGTTTCCTGAGCCAAAATTTCAGTCCTGGCTCTGACAGTCTTTGTGGCACTGCAGAGATCACTTGACTTCTTTGAGGCTCTGCATCCTTTTCTGCAAAATGGGGATGAACAATATCTACTTTACAGGATCACTATGGGAATGAAAAGATAATGTACGTGAATGTGCTAAGTGCTTCAGTATTTTTAATTACCCTAATAATAATGGGATTTTTAACATCATCAAAACAGTGTATAATAAAATAGGCCAGCTGAGCTTTAGGACACCGTGAAGCATAATTACTTTCTTCTAGAGCAACTGGATCGAAAAGTTTGGGAGACTTTATCTTGGAGTCCAATGGAGAAAGTTTCTAATTAAAGCTTTCTCTCACTTTTGAATGGTCTTATAAAATTCTGATGCTCATCTACAAGGCTAAGATTGCTTTCAGGTATGCCACTTGTTGAACCACACTTTCAGGAAAGAACTATACCTCAAAACCATAGTTATTTAATACATTGACTGCCACACTAGAAAAAATAATTTCCTTGGGGCCATGGTATTTTATTACGAAAATAGAATAAAAACTTTGAAAATAAAATGATCTTTTCTAATTTCATGAAAGCCAAAATTTATTGATTTCTATTCATTTAATCCACATTTTTAGAATGAATTTGTCAATATTAATTGTAACAATAAGAACATCAACAAGGAAGATTTTCACAAACCGACTGCAGGTTTTGCCCAGGTTTTATGTCACGAAACCTGGGGCTCAAAACTAGTGTGAGTAAATACAATTCACATGGCAGTTAATGTGTTAAAGAACTTCAAAAGACTACTTTTTTTGAGAAAATCTAGTGAATGGTAAAAACAGGGTTTTTTTGTGAGGAAGAAAAATTCTTTGTCAGAACCATTTGTAGGAAAGGAGATAACAGTGGTTGTGTTTAGAAAAGTTTGTAATTAATAGATCTACTGAAACATACTTGTCCCAAAATATTGGAATAAAAAAGAATTATTACTGTTTCTCATCAGTAACTCATTGCAAATATATAGTCCAACTCACAATAAATTATGGAGTCATATGTATATGCACTTAATTTGCCAAAACACTCATAAAGTTTAATGAAGTTAACTCCCAGCAAGCAGATTTATTACTATTCATTTACTATGAATGAAGCAAATAAAAAGTATTTAACAACAAACATGATGCGCTCACCATTAGAACATGCCCACTAATTGTAAAACACTCAATTTGCTTAATTCTTTCTTTTACAATCAAATTAGGCCAAATCCAAGTCCATTCACTTTATGGTACCCACTCAGCTATGCATTCTTTCTGACACTTCCTTTATTTTGAATCTGCTCTAAATCTTATGACATGCCTGGCATAGTCATGCTCATATCTAGCCAAGAAATTTATCAAAAGTTGGTGCTTTCTGGCACCACCAGGCTTAATTGCTTAGACTCGGGTTAGTTGAAAGGCACAAGGCCAGTAAAACTTGCCAGAAAAAAAAAAAATACAGTAAATTTAGCACTTACTGCCTTGAGGTCTTCATTAACATGAGTATCATTCATTATAAACTCAGGATAGCCAACTTTTGCCAAAACAGCCCTTGCCTATAAAAAGGAAAAAGAAAACTGATGTCAGAGTTTCAGCACTTAAATCATTAATAATCACAGGACGGAAGAATGCAATCTTCATCTGAAAACTCCATTTACTGAATATCTACTATATGCAAGCCACCATGAAGGGGGGGAAACAAAGTTAGTTCCTGCCGTCAATATACTAAAAATGCAGTAAATGTACCAAATAATTACCTAGCACAAAGTAAACAAAATAAACATTTTAATAGAAATAGACAACGTTGTTCTCAAAGTCCAGAGCAAAGACATTCTTCGTGGGGAAAATGTTTAATGAAGAAGATGACCAAATGGAGTCTTAGAGAATGGTCAGGATTTCAAAATGCAGAGCTGAGAGGAAGAACATTTTAGGAGAGGATAGAGGGGCAAAGACAGGGAAGAAAAACTGTGACCCATACATTCAATAAGGGGTTAATATCCAAAATATATTTTAAAAACTCAACTCATAGCAAGAAAACAAATAACCCAAATAAAAAAATGGGGCAAGGAGTTGAAAAGACATTTCTCAAAAGAAGACAGACAAATGGCTAACAGGTATATTTTAAAATGTTCAGCATTACTACGAATCATCAGGGAAATGAAAAGTAAAACCACTTTGAGATATCATTTCACATCTGCTAGGATGGCTGTTATGAACAAGACAAGAGATAAGTGTTGGGGAGGGTGTGGAGAAAAAGGGGAATCCTTGCAGTGTTGGTGGCAATGTAAATTGCTACCACCACTATGGAAAATATTATGGACTTTCCTCAAAAACTTAGAAGTAGAACTACCATGTGATCCAGTAATCCCACTTCTGGAATTATTCATTCCCTATATGCTGCAAAACTCTGAGGATAATTAGTACCTTCATCTATCAAAAGGATGGTTATGACATTATGACTTATCTTAAATTCTAGACCCTTGTGGGTATATATCCAAATGAAATGAAGTCAATATGTTGAAGATATATCAGCACCTGCATGTTCATTGAAACACTATTCAAAATAGCCAAGATATGGAATCAACCTAAATATCTACATATGGATGAATGGATTTTTTAAAAATGTGGTATATATATATACACAATGGAATAATATTCAGCTTTATAAAAGAAGGTAATCCTGTCATTTGTGACAACATGGATGAACGTGAAGGAATTATGCTAAGTGAAATAAGCCAGGCACAGAAAGACAAATAGCACATGATCTCACTGATATGTGGAATCTAGAAAAGTCAAACTCATAGAAGCAGAAAGTATTAATAGAATGGTGGTTATCATGAGCCAGGGGTTGGGGTTGGGGTTAGGAGACGTTGATCAAAGGATACAAAATTTCAGTTAGATGGGAGAAATAGTTCAGAAGATCTATTGTACAACATGGTTACTACAGTTAATCACAAAGTATTATATACTTGAAGATCACTAAGAGAGTAGATTTTAAATGTTCTTACCACAAAAAAATCATAAATTGTGAGGTAATGGAAATGTTAATTAGCTTGATTTACCCATGCTACAATGTATACATATATCAAAACATCATATTGTACACCATAAATACATATAAAATTGTGTCAGTTTAAATAAATAAAAAGAAAAGGATACAGGGAGACAGGAAACACATGGCATATTGGAGAGATGGTAAGTAATTTGATGAAGCTGGACCATAAATACACAAGAGTGAAGAACAGAAGATAATGCAGGAAAATTGGCTTGGGTCAGATCACAGAGACTCCTGAATGCCATGCTAACGAGTCTACATTTTATTTTATAGCTAAGAGAGAGCTAAATATCTTTAGCAGGAAAGTAAAAGGAGATGAGTCATGCTTCAGGAAAATTATCCTGGCAACATTGTGAATGATAGCCAGGATCCCAGAAAAATTGGAGGTTAGGGTCTACAATAATTTACGATAAGTCGTGGCCGGGCATGGTGGCTCATGCCTATAATCTTAGCACTCTGGGAGGCCAAGGTAGTAGGATCACTACAAGTCAGGAGTTCAAGACCAGCCTGAGCAAGAGCGAGACCCCTCCTCCTCTACTAAAAAACAGAAAGAAATTAATTGGACAACTAAAAATATATCAAAAAATTAGCAGGGCATAGTGGTGCATGCCTGTAGTCCCAGCTACTCAGGAGGCTGAGGCAGGAGGCTCACTTGGGCCCAGGAGTTTGAGGTTGCTATGAACAAGGCTGTTGCCATGGCACTCTAGCCCACGCAACAGAGTGAGGCTCTGTCTCAAAAAAAAAAAAAAAAAGATAAGTCATAACGTCATAACCATCCTTTTGATAGATAAAAGTACTAATTATCCTCTGTGTTTTGCAGCATATAGGGAATTAATAAAAATAAAATCACCTTAGGTACATAGAAAGAGCCTCTAGAGCAGAGATTAATAAACTATGACCCCTGGGCCAAATCCAGTCACCCTTTCTCACCTGTTTTATAAATAAAGTTTTATTGGAACACAGCCACACCCATTCATTTACTTATTATCTATGGCTGTTTTTGCCTACAACTGTGGAGTTGAGTAGTTGGGACCAAAACCCGGTGGCCCACAAAGCCTCAAATAGTTTGTCTGGACTTTTTATTTATTTATTTATTTATTTTGAGACAGAGTCTCACTCTGTTGCCCGAGCTAGAGTGCCATGGCGTCAGCCTAGCTCACCGCAACCTCAAACTCCTGGACTCAAGGGATCCTCCTGCCTCAGCCTCCTGAGTAGCTGGGACTACAGGCATGTGCCACCATGCCCAGCTACTTTTTTCTATATGTATTATGTCTGGCCCTTTTTAGAAAAAGTTTGTCAACTCTTACTTTAGAGAAACTTTACAGTTCTATGTGAATATTTCTCTCTCCTCTCCCCAGATTCTGGGTTTCACAAAAAAGCAAAAGAGAAGCTTACAAGTACATTCTAAGTATATTCTCAGGGCTCTGACCAGATCCCCTGGGATTCCTTTGATCATTTTTGTACATCCCTCCCCAGCATCTATGTTCTTTTCTTTTCTAAAGGCCAGCACCTAAGATTCTTTGAAGGCCTACCCTAGGGCGACTAAAGCTCCTTGCCTGTGCTCAGAAACAGCTAGCTCCTGGGAATTTATTTGCCTTCTGCCCAATCTACCTCCAACTCCACTCAGGTAACCCCTAGCTGATAACTGACTGTAGCAAGAGTATGAAAGCCTTTGCCTCAATTCAGGACAAACTCTGAGGTATAATTTGCACTTCCAGAGTTTCTTGCTAGATAGGACCAGTGCTGAGATGTCCCCTGAAATCACACCTTTGCCTGCATCTTGCCCCTCCGTCTTGCTTCTCCCATTCCCATGCTAGTGTTTCTTGGGAGCATTTGCTCAATGAATCACTTGCACAGGAATCCTCATCTCCAGATCTGCCTCCAGTTGACCCAACAGAAGACCCAGGCAACCCCAAACACATTGGTTTTTTCCAGCAAAGCAAAACCAGTGACCTTTGCACACTGCTCTTGGTAACAAGTTTTTTCCTTTAGTCCCTTTCAATTTGCCTCAAGAAATAAATAGAATAAGATAGTACATTTTCCTTATCTTCCTTGAGATAATTCAAATATTAAATATCAGCAGAAACCTGAAACTCAAGACTCAGAGAGGACTTTACAAGTGTTGTAGGACACAATCATAATGGGTTTTGCTGTTCCAGAGACTCAAATATAGCACAAATCAAATTATGCCTTCAAACCCCTGTGAGTTACACACACTAAAAGGCTGATGTGACCCAGATAGCAGATAACTAAAGGTTATAACTCTCCACCCAATACCAAATGACATGTCATATGTCTATAAGTTACCTTGTTATGAAATTATTATTTCTTCCATTATATTTAATTTCTCACTGTATTTTATCAGCTCACCATAAGTCAGCATATGCATAACTATAGCAAATAAAGAGCTCTGGATAGTGTCCCAAAAACAAAACCAAAAAAAAAAAAAAATGAAAAGAAAAGAAAGAAATATATAAGCTGAGTCATCCACAATTGTTTTCTGAAAACTAGTCTTTCTGGAGCATGCTGGTGAATTATGCATTGTTTTCAAACCTCACGCTCTGGGACCCCCCACTGCACTACGGAGCCTCACAGAATATATTACCTTCTGCACCATATACGCAGGTCATTGAATCCTTTTTTTATTATTTATTTAGCAGCACCATGACATGAAAAGAATTAGTACAGAGATATAAAGAATTTCTATTTACCTCCCAAGGATTCATAGCTAGAATGAATAATACTAGTAGCAACATTGCCAACATCTAAATAGAATGTTCTTCCTCCCCCAAATTTCTACTTACACTCAAATGCATCTTCTTCCAGAGAGTCTATGGTCAATGCCACATCATCCTATTCTACCTTATTCTATGTTCTTTCCTGAGAAGCTTCAGAACTATTAATACATCTCACAATATCCCATGGAGCATGGCTCCAGGTTAGACTGCCAATGAGAACTACTCATAGGCAACTCCGAAGGTAGAAGAAGAAGGAGACACCATGTATTTGTTGTTAGTAGCCATAGGCAGGCACATGGGTATCTGCAGAAAGCAGACACAGCACTTTGCCAGCAACTTCCAGGCATTCTCCTGAGAAGACTCCACTAGTGTAGAGATCATTGGTCAGCTCTGCCCTTCACTCCCAGCCCTCCAAATGGTTACATTAGCCTCCAACTCCCTGTATTAAATATCTTCCTGGTTGATATACTTAAAAGAGCATTTGTTTTCTTGAATGAACTCTAAGGCAATTAGTGATCACATCATTTTTTACCTTTCTCCGAATAGGAGAGATGGAGCACCAACAGTTTGAGGGCTTGAAGGGCAGGTCAGAATCAATATTAGTGAGGCAGGTCTAAAATCAATTATTCCGTTGGTTATGTGGACTACAAGGAAAGGCAAGTTCCACTGCAAATGCTGAGAGAATAGTGATATGAATATTTAACAGATTGTATATCATGCCCTGCAAGAAGTATTTCCTAGGCTGTTTGTGGCTGAACAAAAA